CGGCACACAAGCCTGAGCAATAAAGGCTTCGCGTCGTAAGGCAAGTGTGATGCTTGATGGCGCACCATGTGCTCGTATATATTTTTGTAATTCAGAGGTTATAGGTGTCAGAGCGGAGATAGTAGGCGAAACTGCCACGGCCAATGTGTTCAATCTGATGTAAAATATATAGAATGTCGACTCTTGATTTATAAACTCCCCCCCCTCCCCCCCCTCAACAACCAAGGCCTCCAAAATAATGTATAAGAAAATCAATCAATTGATAATTAAACAAGGAATCCTTAGCTAGCTACCTCTGGAGCTACTCTGGCAATACTAAAATGAAAGGAATCAAGAAACCTAACTTTGAAGACATCTGGAATATTAATTACAATAAAAGGGAATGACTCAATGCAAATAGAACTAACTGTTTAAATGTCAATGGAAATCTGAATCCAAAGACCTGCAATTTCAATGGTAAGTATATAAAGCAAATCAAAAGGCAAAGAAAAGGAATAAAGATTTAAAGCCTCAAATCTCTAGACATTATTCTAGGGGCACCCCTAAATAATGTCAGAAAGCTGCTTGCTGGACTACCCCCTTTGCTTGAATGATTTTGTTTGTTTTTCAATACTTTTGAATAAGGGATTTTAAAGAAAGTGCGCACTGACTTTTGGAAACTTTTGGTTCGCTTCAAAACTAAAGAGCTTAGGAAAAGTAAAGCAAATCAAAAGGGAAAAAGTAAACCATAACAATAAAAAATATCCCACTACAACTACCCCTCCCCCCAAAAATACATTATTCTGGGGGCCTTTGTAAATCTGTGCAGGAAAAAAGTCATTATTCTAGGGGCGTTTATATATAAATGTGAGGTCAACATTATACAATTATGCAATGCCAAATTTATTCCTGAATGAGTTTGTTTATGCACAAAGGGAATCCTTCAGGCAAATCACTTCAAACAGACAGCTGATGGTGATGCTTTAAAAAAGGGATTCTGTATATCCGGCGTACTCAATCTGAAAGCCTTTGTTTTGAGACATGATGATCGAACTTGGGGCTAGACCGATGACCTCTAAACCTGGGAGTGGACATGACAACACCCTGTAATGTTCGGTGTGGAGAAACAACTTTTCCCGCCCTCCACGTTGAAAGAGCAGCTTCGGTGTCCATCAGTGCATGATCCTTTGTCATTCGTTGCGATTTGCAGCACGCTGAAAAACACCACACGCTGAAAAACACCACGTGTGTTGTTCACACCAGTCAACTTTAAATACCCGATCCCTTTTTACCACAGCACAAGCAGATTAGTGGGATGTCAGTCGACGAGTGGTTGACCAGAAATTTAATCTACATCAGTTATACAAGGGAATACCCTTCCACCACCTCACACAAGTTGCTCCATCTTCAGAGGCCTACCAGGCCACGCCAGATGCTGGTGCCTTTGGAATGTGAGCGGAATGATGGATCCTGGTGGATCTGTAGATTGGAGGCAAAGCCTTTGCAGGATCCCTGGTCGACCAGCTGTGCAGGTGACCACGAGGATATTTTTCCTTCAGGGCCTGGAGAGTTTGTGCAGCCATACACTTGCTCTATCTTGTTCTTAACTTTGTTCTTGAAAAGGTTGTTGACTGCACCTTTGCTGTCAAAAGGTGTCAGTTTTAGTTTGCGTGCAACATGCTGTAGACTTGATGCTATGTCGGCTAGTTGGCCGCGCTTGCAGCCCCCGCTGGAGATCAAGTCGCTGTAGATGGAGAACTTAGCGCCGTGTGCGCCATGCGGAACAAAAGGCATTTGCTCATGGTCTTGGTAGCAGAGTGCATTTGCCGATCTCATCACGGTCTTTTCTTGACTGAGAAGTGAGCTCAATGACATTAAATATATCATATATATAGATAGTATTTAGTCATATCATTTGTCTTGAGAGTGCAAATTGGACGACATCCTAGACATGTTCGGTTCGGAAAAGAAGATGTTCATCAGGTGGACCTGGGGATGTCACATGAAACCCGTTGTTTCGTGTTTTTCCTCACCTCTCGGGCACCCGGACACTCCGCCCGCATGGGCGCGTTCGTGCGCCAGGTCTGTGACTTCCTGGCGGGACAACAACAGCTCCGGCGTCTCGACGCGAAGGACGGAGACGCGATGGCCTTGGAACGCTGGACGTTCTTTGAGGGATTTGGTAGAGGAGAAGGTGAGTTCAATTGAATTCACACGCAAGAAATACTGCGAAAACATACTAACTAATGGATATGGCAACAGTCTGCAACTTGATCGGACCAAACACATGTTGTCGATGTTCGGTTTCTTTGACTGTTGACAGCTTGACTTTGGGTGAAGAACATCGGCATTTGAACATGACTGCAAGTTAGAGAGAACTTTTTCCAGAATCCGGTGTCCCGGCGGAAACGGAGCGTTGCTTCATGGCCGATTAGGAGCCCGATGAGGAGGGCTTGTCACCTTTGGTGATCCACACGGTTCGGCTTCACGGGTGGAGGGCGGAGAGGGCCGGTGGTCGCCCCGGGGTTTCTGACGTCAGATCCACGGAGGGTTTATACACTCCCGAGTCAACTCATGTGTTAGACGATGTTCCTCTAGTCTTACAGGGGTTTTCAGGTTCCATGTGGATCAGTCATGTTGGAACCAGGGGTGTAGTCATGTTGGATCAGTCATGCGTGAGCATCAAGGCTTGGGAATTTCTTTGTTGTATGTGTTTGTTTTGTGCTTCCTTCACAGATGAGAGAGGAGTAGGGCGGGTGTTTGGTTTCACTGATGCCTTTGACGCCCCAAAGTGAGACAAGATGTTCTCCTCAAGGCAAGCTTGGACCATGGAACATAATATGCCTGTGACAGTGCCAAAAAACCTTGTTTGTTCCATGGAACTCCTACCATCTCAGAACATGTTCAATGTTTTAGAAAGATGCCCCTGTGATTTGGTGAAGGAGCTTTTGGTCACACCCGTCATATCCTATTCTACAAATAAGTAGATTAGATGTCCCCAGAGCACGCAAGTCTGCACCGCTTCGGTCGTTGCCTTCAGGTGGTCGATGAACGGCCCGAGGAGGAAGAGGTGGAGGTCGGCGAGTGGAAGTGCGCCGAAACCAGCACCGCACCCGCACGCGGCGTCACGCACGCGGCGTTGGTCAGACCATGTAAGACCTTTGGAGGATCTATACATAGAGAGGTTGAACAGACCTGTTTTGCATATCCAATATGTACCACCATCGTACCAGTTTAGGGTTCCGGCTCTCTCAGCCTGTGTTCTTCATTTTGTGCAGTTTTGTGGCTTGGATTCGTTCAGTTCCTGCGGAGACTTTCCAGACTCGAAGTCTTCATTTGAGCGACTCGGGGTTTGAGCGACTCGATTCCAGAGCTCACATGGACATCAATTTTGCATGTTGGTAACCAAAAACAGTTCCATGGGCTTCTCAGCCTCCAGGGCCACCGGCCGCGCCACCTTTTCATTTTCCAAACTCTGGGGCCACCCATGGACTCCCATGGCTTTGGATGCATGGGCTTCGACATGGTTTTCACTGGGTAGCCCCGTCTCTGGTGATTAAACCATCAAAAGTGTGGATGTGTTTGTTCTAAGCAGCGAGCCTCTGTGGTTCAACTCCTGCGTAAAACCACCAAATATATCCAAATATGAAAGACAATATATGTTGAGGGGACACTATTTGCATCGACAGACAAACCCCTTTCGTCCAACAACTGTCAATATCATTGCCCTAGTCCTGGCCCTTGATCTACACAGCTGTCACCGGCAGCCCACATGAGTGATCTTCGAATTTCAGCTCGTTCCACAGGTACATCGTGCTTGACCCTAAAGGGGTGACGCTCAGATCCCACCCCACGTGCCCCCCGATCCCATGGAGGCGAGATGGATGCTGTCCATGGGTGGATCAAGATGGGTTCAAGAGGCAATCACTTCAACCATCCAAGAAGCTGTTTAGTATGTCTTTGAAGCTTCTTATAGTAATGCTACACGGCTTGGGATCATTGTCGAATCGTTGTCGGTGCTGTGAAACCTGGCATAGCCCGCCTGAAAAGAAGCCACAAGCGGGCGATGTATACAGCTGAAAACAACGAAGGAGTCACACTGCGCCGCACCTGGCGAGACGATATGTGTATTCCGTATTCCCTATACTTGAACCTGAAGTGTTTTGAAGTAAGGATCCTCCCAAACCAAGGGCCACGTACATTTTCGGAGGCCCTAGTTGTGACTTGATTGCATGTTTTATTGTATAGTATGCTACTTGAAGGGTCCAAATAGATACACAAAAACAAAGCGACAGGCATCTCATTCAGAACAAAAGAATGCTAAAGATTCAAACAATGTCCAAGGAAAACATGAGGTTCACATTGTTCACATCCAAAGAATGAAAACATGTCGGTTGTTCATGACCCAACATTCTTCATGACCCCAGGCGATCGCCTGGTTGGGAATCATCAGGTACGACAAGGCGGCCAAGTTGAAAGACCGTTTGGAGGAGGGCGAGGCGCTGTTTGTGCCCGAAAGCCGGCGAACACTAGAGCCGACCCGCCAGCAGCCTCGGGGCAGTCTGGCTGGCTCTTGGTCAGTGCACCCACGAACAGGCTTATTGGAGATTCACCCCGAAAAGCCAGGGGCCAAATTTGTGGCTTATGTGGCTTGGTTGCACACAAGATTCTGTGCCACGTTCCTTTGGACATGAAGATGGATGTGCAAAAGTACAACGCAAGCATTTAAGGGTGGTCTCTACTATACTATCAAACAACAACTCAAAAGTATACACTAAGACTATAAAATAGGTAAGCACCAGCATCCTCACAGCCAGGTCTCCTCTTTCGAACCTGCCAGGTCTCTTCGTTCCTAAGCTCGCTAAATCCTTTAGCCACGATCTATTGGCGAGACACCAAGCAAAACGCAAAAAGATGCAAAAAGTCAAAAAGTGAGCAAAGTCAAAAAGTGAGCAAAGTCAAACAGTCAAAAAGGTAAAGGAAACGAAAGCACGCAGCGAGACGTTTCGAGTGAATTTTGACTTTTCGACTGTTCTCTCTGTCACTTTTCGATACTTTTCGACGACACCAGTCACATGCCGTGCCCTTCAACAAAGGTCTAGCAGAATTGATCCAAACGTTGCTTTTGCTCCTACAGATATTGGTATAGGTTGCTATTTTCCAGACATCTCCAGCCATGTCAAAGTGACTCAGCCTCGAGCAGGAACGCTTGAGAGAGGATTGGAAGTCAAAACACGCAGCCCCGATAACCTTCAAATAAGAGACGCCCGCCAAAAGGACCCGGCAAGCCCCGGGACCTTTTGGCGGGTGACTCTTTTTATCATCGTTGCCTTTTCGTGCACTTTTCCACTTTTCGCGACTTTTCGACTTTTTGCAAGAAGTTCGGAGAGCAAGTAGATCCAGCTCACACATTTAGCAACCACAGGTTCGTTCGGGCAGGGACCGAATGGGGCACGATGCATCGCCAGATCGTGGAGATCCTCGAGAGACGCGCCGGCGCCGAGACGGCGCGAGAACGGGGTCTCGGGCGGCGGACGGAGCGACAGAGCCGTGGGAAGGAGCGCGAAGAGAAGAGAAGTCTTGGGTGTCACAAAATGCATGGTCTTCCTTGACATGATTGATATAAAATCACACACACACATATCTCAGGGTGACAGTCCCGAAGAACTAGCACTTGAATCGGCTCATATCGATTGGAATCCCATACAACCACCACGAAGAGTCTTGAAGGGGTATAACGATATTACTGGAACATCCAGCTTTGTTCATAGGGTTTGAACCCAAATCTGGCAGATGTCAAGTTAAATTTGTCCCTCGCCCAGGACTGGATGACTTCCTCTAACTTGAAACATGACGAGTGAAACACCGGAGGCTTTTGTTTGATTGGCTTTGCGTAGTTCGGGTCGGAGCTGAGCTCGGAGACTCATCTCGGGAGTCCTGGTCCTAGTCCTCGATACAGCTGACTTGCAAGAAGTTAAGAGGTTTGGAAGACGTTGTTGTAACGGCGTGTTGGGGCCTCCACAGTGGAAGAAGAACATGCTGCAACTTGCCGCATATTGCCGCATAAGAAGTGGATAGTTTTTTGACCGAGTATAGACACGTTGATTGCTTTTGACTGCACACTTCCACCACTCCTTCGATCGCCAGGTCTTCCTTCGCGTGAAGACCACCGAAGGGTCACGCTGGCCCTGCATTGGGGCTTCTTACTGTTCGTCACAGAGTCTGAGTGCTCACAGTAATACATGCTTTCCCAAGCCAAGTAAAGCTGTGGCATGAGTCAAGATTATTCAAGATTAAATCTGGGATCCCAATTGCCACCGCGACAAGCGGCGCTTGGGACAAAAACTCTTTAGAACCGAACCCTAGTACGTTGCTTTTCACATGCTGTCTTCCATGCTGCTCTCACAAACTGTCCGACAAGGATGACGAACACGTTTCAACACGTCCTTTGTCCTTTGTCCAGCACCGACCGTTGGGACCCCCCGGTCTCACCGTCACACCGGAGGAGGGACCGCGCGCCGTGCCCGCCAGGACCAGAGGTTGGGCCTTCACGACTCAGCCGGGCCCGGGCTCTTTCCTGAGGCGACTGGGAGGTTCTTGTTACGTCCGATGCACGATGCCAGGAGCCCTTAGTCTAGTAGCGTCCGATCGCTCCGTTCGTAGTAAGGCCAGGAGCACCGTTTGTAGCGAACCTTGTTCCTAAGGGAAGGAGAGATCGAGAGACAATCGTAGCAATGAGTAAAACCACATTAATCTCATGCAACAGCCAACAGTCCACCACGTAGCTTCATCCGACGTGTTTCGGGACCTCGTCGGTCGATAGACGAGGCTCTTGGAAGTCGAGGTGAAAAGTTGCAACTTGTGCGCCGGTGCTGGGACAGATGAAACAGTGAAGGAGTGCAGACCGGGGATAGAAATCTTGATGAAGCAGTGAAAACCGATGTACTTGTAACAGTGAAGCAGTGATTCACCAGTGAGGCAGAGCATGTGCTGGAAATCTTGACCCGAAGATTGAAAAGGATGTGGAAAGGGCGTCGCGAGTGATACGGTGTGATTTGTGTCCCTTCCATTTTCCTGCAGCGAATCACACGAGTCGGAGAATTGACGCGCCTCGAACATTGTGCACACTGACAAGTGGAGAATGGTCACAGGGGGGATCTAAAGGGGGCGTTGAGCTGCCAGTGGCATCCATGTTTCCATGTTTAGTTCTCCAAATCCATAATTTTGTCAGAATGTATATAGAAGGTTAATTATTAATCAATGTTTAGTGTGTTTGTATCTCCAGTCCAAACCCCGGCCACCCTCAAACACTGTCAGAGTCCGGCTCCAAAACGGATCTCTGGAGAAAGCACCATCCTTTACCAGGCGATCTCTTCTTGAACTGGAGCCACAGCAACCCACTTCCAGAATTGGAAAGTCCTCCAGCAGAACCCAGAGGTCCAGAAGTCATTGCGGCTAATGTAGAATGGATTAAACAAAATTAAAGATTTGGAGGGTAACCTCTTCATTTGTGAGGGGGTTCTGCGGTCCCTTCAGCTTCAGGCTGAACATCCCTCGAAGCTACAAACAAATCCAACTCCGAAGCCCCCACCACAATGACCTCACCAGGCCCTCAGACCCTAGGGGAGTGGTCCCACATTGCCGGCTGTGGACATGGAAATGGCCCCGACCTTCGACGCCTGCGACGCCTCACCAGCCAGGTACTTCCAGGTGCTGAAGCGTTCCCACCTTCGACGCCGCTGTTCCTTTGCAGAAGCCGCCAAGGTCCCGATTCTCATGCCGCCAAAGTCGACCGAAAGACCCACCGGCATCAGACCCGGTGCAACGGGTGTTCTTTTTGTTTTTTTGTGGGGCAGGACTTGTGGACACGGCATTGGACCCAGAAGACCTGACGATATTGCTTGTTTTTGCCCTGGAAGACCTGTTGATGTTATTTGTATTAAAGTCTATTTGTTATTGCGGGAGCAAGTAACGCCGGAGGACTGTTGAATCCTGCAGATGATAGACATTCTTAGCTTGGTAAACACTTCCGTGCTATATAGATTCTTGATCGCACACGTCTTCACTCCAGTCGTCTTCTTTGCTTCGCCTGCTCGGCATGAACACCGCACGTCCAGGTGGGCCGAACGGTGGAAAAGGGTCAACTGCTCCACGTGATCCGGCGCTTGGAGGCTTCGCAGCGACGGTCGAGGGTTTGTCCCGGTCAAGCGATAGGAACATCAGCATGGTAAGACAGTTGACTCAGGGATTGACTGTTTATTGTAAGGACAAGTTCGTCCTCAAAGTGTTACAATGTGCCATCCAAATGTATGATAGATTATTATAATATAAATATATATAGCTATTGAGTACAACGTAAAGACACCTAAGACGCTTAAGATGTAGACACAATGGAGTGAAAAAGCATCGGACTTCCAAAGCAACGAATGTCCTGCAGCACAACAACTGCAAGGGATTGGTGTAAAACCGGCACCCAACGCCAGGTGGGTGGAACCACATGCTTGCAAATCGACAGCGGGGAGTGGTTGGTGTGCCCCAAGGACTGGATTTTGCGATGTTTGTTGCAGCAGTTGAGTTGCATTTTGTTTTGAAATAATGTGTTTGTTTCGCTCCAAGTGCGCATTTTGTAAGAATCTTATATCACTTTGTCAGGAGCTATAATTCTATATCCTATACTTAGTATATATATATATTATTATTGGTAGTTATATAATTATGTTATATGTATATATATACCTTAGACCTTCCGACTATCAACATTCCTGCCTTTTGGCTGGTCTTATACATAGGCAGAAAGTATGAATAGTTGTTGGAAGATCTATGGGAAATTATGGATATATATATATATATTAATGTATATAATGTAGTTTGTTCAATTAGCGGACTGCACTGATTCCATGGTTTCAGCAGGCTTGCGTCCGTCCAATTTTTGGTGACATTCTGGATCATATGTCGCCGCAGGTCAGTCATTTGATTTCCCCACAATGTTCCACTTTCCGGATCCATCAGGGTTCTGTTGGGTGTTGACAGATTTGGAGATGGAGGCACCATTTTTTCAGCTGCGAAGCTGACACCCCGAGACTGAGTCAGTTTAACTTGCTGCAGAGGTTTGTTGCCGAATTCAAAGAAGCCCTCAAAGTTGGGAAGCACGTGTTTTTTTTTCAATCATTCCGTCAAGATACCAACTGCTGTTTCCAAACAGTGACACTTACTTCAGACTGCACTGTTCCAACCAGTCAGGCCAACAAGATGCAAAGCCCGGAGTTGCGAAGGTCCAGTCGGTCACCCGCCTTGAACGAACACCGAAGGCAAAAGCGATTCCTTTTGACCAGGACCAAGGCGCCTTTGTCGATGGACCACTGGAGGTGCGAAAGATGCACAACGAAGAAGCGGCGCCTTGGTGGGTTGGCCAACAGAGCTGGGTCTTTTGGAGGGCGTGTTTCATTGGGACGGCACCGGGATCGATGTCTTTTCCTTTAAATTTTTTATCCATCTCCACCTTTAATGTGGATCTAAGATGATCTTATTAATATACTGTAATAGCCTTCAGAATCTCTTCCAAGACGAACGTGAAGCCTCACCTAACAAAAGTCCTTCAAAACATCCTAAAGAAGCTCCTAAAGAATCCTTCTACACCTAGAAGACGCTACGAACGGAACGATCGGGCATCGCCTCACGAACGGAACGAATTCGAACGATCGGGCATCGCTACGAGTTCCGGGGCTCCTGGCCTGTAGAACACACCTGTTCTGCTCCTACGCTCCTCGCTCTGTGCCACCCCTCCTGCTTCGCTCCGAGGAGGTGCGCGCAGCCGATGCGGTGGCCTTGAGGAAAGGGCCCACCGAGCTGCCGTGGGCGTTGACCAAGAAGGCCGGTGGGCTGAACGGCAAAGGACGAACGATGGGAAGAACCGGGAAGCACCCTGAGGTAGAAGTGGTTTGTTTGTTGGAACTGATCTGACAAGGATATTCTGGAAGGTCTTTTTTTCAGGGTTCAATTCTTCTTTGAATAGAGCTATAGCTTTATATATATGTGTTTTTGTGTTGAGATTGACTTTGGATGTCCGATGACCTCGCACACAAGATCGAGAACTCCACCAGTATAGAACCCCCTGAAGTAGTACTTATTGTTCTTTGTTTAGAGTTGAGAATCTCCAACTGTACTCACCGCTAGCTGTAGACCTCCCAGAGTGCTCATGGTCCCCTTGGTTGGACGACTGTTGCCAATACAACATTTGTTTCTTCCTGAGTGTCCGTCCAATGCGCTCATTTGGGGTTGCATGATCAGTTGATGATGTTGATGAAGAAGTGTCAAGAACTGATCCCCCATGTGTTTGCGTTCTTTCCAACATCTACTCTCTTCATCTTCGGTCAACTAGCGAAGGTCAACCAGCGCCATTCTCCTGCGTTGCACCACGCACACAGCGGCACAATGGCCCTCGGCAGGTCCTCCTCCCCGGGTCAAAGGTCTTGGCCATCCGACGTGCCGGGTCACCGAGGGCGTCGTGCGACAGTAAAGCCGGCCCCTGTTGGGAAAGGACTTTCGTTGAGGGAGTCATACAGTTCAAGGGAGTAAGCCAATGCATTTATATGATTTTATATGGTAAACGATGGTAGCTATTCAGAGGGACATGTGGATCCTGATGAGCACTGAGGGTCCAATCTACAGGAGTTCAGGAAGAATCTGTAATATCTCCTCTTGTCGACTCTACACAAAGAAAGCTGTCAAACCTCTTTCCGTCTTATGTATAGGCATGTATAGGCCATTATACATCATGGATTTATCTTTGTTTACAAAGAACTTTATGATCTGCAAACCAGTTGCTTGCTGGTCAGTCAGCCAAGCCGTTTCTTGCTACATTCCGATCACTCATCACTGTGTACGTACATGTCACATGATTCCTGGAGCAGCACATTGGTAAGTCTAAAGAAGCCCTTAACGATACAGTTTGAACATGGTGTCTACATGATGTCAACGATGCAGTTAAAGCAAGTGGACTTCACCCAAAGGCAAATCCGCAGCGCCTCTCAAAGGCCCACTTGCACGGAGAGATGTGGATGGAGGTGATGCAATTAGGAGGTCTTTCGGGCTGGGTGCAGCGTGGCCTGTTTGGTCCAAAGTCCTTTCCAGATTTTCCCGCTCCATGTCAGTTATACAGAATCAGCTGAAAAAGGCTATTAATATATTAGATATATTATAGTTTGAACTATGATATAATATATACTATCAATATGTATGTCTTTATCCACTAGTGAGTCTATCTGATCAAGTCGAATTCCGAAACGAGTACTTCCACGAGAAAGAACATGGAACATCTTGAGTTCCGTCATGCCTTCGAAGGGACTTTGACCAGTCGTCCTTCTGTGGCGGTCCTCGACTCACCGCGCCAGATGTTGGCCTCAGACCTGCAGCTGGACTTCTCCATTTCGAGCCTTCCGCGGCGGAACCGCTGAGGCGCTCCGAACCGTGCCTTCGCGTGCTTCCGTGTCAGCGGCCGGGCGGACTGGGTGAGCCACTTCACTCGAAGTGATGCGCGTTGTTTCGTGGACGACCGGTCGGGGTCGAAACGAGCTCCGAAAAGCCATGAGATATTCTGAATGGTGTCCATGAAAGCCTTTTAACAATTTTAGACATGTGAGTCTCAGAGGCTTTGTGACGGTAGGCCATCCATGGCCATTCCAAAGGTGTCTGCACTTTCATCAGCATGAGGACGCACTAGTTGGCATGGCAAAGCAAAGCGATGCAAACCAAACAAGACCTGTGATCCTCCAAACCATAGAACGACTTAGAGTTCAATGCAGCACACGCAATCAAAGTACCTGCACTGATCACTTGCAAAGATTCAGTTTACTTACATAGTTAAGCATGTTAAGCTACCTCTTCTTTTCTTCACTCCCAGGGGTGCTTCACGCGTAGAAGCACAGCATGTCGAGCAAATTCTGAGAGGAGATCACGGAATGACCTGGACAGAAAGTTGTTCTTGAAGAAAGACTATTCAGCAATTGGATGTATAAAAAATTATATATAGATATGTATATATTATATATAGCAGTCTTCCTGGAATATGTATTTTCCGCGGGAATAAACAGTTTTACCGCTGAGACAGTCATAAAATTAAAACAATGTCTCCCACCAGACATGACAAAATTGCAGTGTTTGGGGTCTTAAAGTAGTACCCTGGTTTTCCAGGATTCTGGTGCAGCCAATCAGTCACATGAAACCATGGAAACCACTATGTTTCTTGTAGATCTACGAATCTTGCCACCACCTACACCCAAACAAAATCATCCCCAAAATCATCGCCAAATCCTGTGAATTCCTCTACTCCGCCTCGACTTCGAGGTGAACCTGGAGCTGACCGCTTTTTCCCGCTTTCCAAACGGAACGGGCTCCAGAGCGGCCGCTCAAGCGGCGCCACCCGCCCCTGCGGAAAAAGGAGTCGAACGAGCGCGTGGGGGGACGGTCTGGCTAGCTGGGAAGGACGGAAGGACGGATGGCTCAATCGGGCGATGGGTTTTTGGGCTCCAAAAGGGCTTTTTTCAGGGGCTGAGGGGGGATGTGGACTTCAGAAACCGCAGATGCGGGTGTTTTCGCAGATACCAAGCAAAGATATTGCCTTTCCAGGTCGGGTGTGTGTTGGGTCCTTGACCTAGACTCTTTCTTCAACCGCCCTTCATAGAGATGACCGCCAGAGGTTTGGGTCAAAGTTACCCCCCAATTCTCATGTTCGAGATGTGTTCAGAAACCTATATATGGCGAGGTTCTTTCGGGTAGTCGAAACATGGCTCTAACCCTGTGCAACAGTTCTTGACACATCCTCCGGCTCCATCTCCCAGAGCTTGGCGCTCCCATCTCGCAGGTATGCACCTGCCATGGCCTACATGGTCAGTCAGCCCGGCGTACCGGGCACTTCCAACAAGCGTGGCTTTTGGTCCTCGGACACGTCCCTGAGCCTGAGACCGGTGTTGGGGGAGCGAAGGAAGATAGACCCTCATCCGGCTGGCCCGATAGTCAAGCTCTCATCCAGCAAAGAGCCAAAGGGAGCCACAGAAGTCTGTGGGTTTTATGGACCTCACAACAAACTCTGACGAACCAGTGGGAGAATGGATCTTTCTTTGCCGTTGTCGTGGTGGGCCACCAAAATCCACCTCCATCGCAAGCATATGCAGGCTATTTCTGGCCTTCAAAGCTGACATGCGGGATGAATCATGGACACTGGAGTTATTTATACCATGTTTTGGTGTTCACGTCCACAGTTCTGTGGGTTTGTCTACCAGCGGGGTGCCAGAAACTAGCTGTTCAATGCCCAATGGATCGGCAGAAAGTGAAATTGGGGGAGAGGGACAACATGACTATGTGGCAGACTAGGCAGGTTATAGGCTTCTGGTTGGCGCAGACGGTGAGCTTGAGATCGCTGGATGCAGAGCATTGTCGCCAAGGTTCTGTAGCATCATAAATTCGTGGTGAAATACTATTGCCAATGGACATTGAAGTAGTATCTCTCCATGTAGCCTCCAGATCCGTACTTTACCTTATCAGGTACTTGCAAGTGAACATCCCACCTTCCCGCTTGAACGAGGATTCGTCACAGAGATGTCAGCCCACTGAACGACGGAGGTGCCATCCCTCCCGCACCGCTGCCACGGCGCTGTGCGATCCCACCAAGAAGTTCCTACAGGTGCGTTCCCAGCAGATCTGCCTGGTTCTGGCGGTTGGGTGATGTTGATTTTCCGGTTCCTAGGGAAATGCCCCTGCTGAGCATTTTTGTTTTCAGGGCTGTGTGGATGGTGTCTTTGAGTAAGAGTATAACCTTGGTGCTCCATACTACGTTGTTCTATCATGGTCACCCTATCGAAAGTCGCGGATTAGTGGATTCAAGATTCGTCCTCTTTCCACAAATGACGCAGGGGACCAGGCAGGATACATCGTCGCCTGGTCCACGAAGCTGGCGATGTATCCGAGGATATGGAAATGGGATGCCATTTCCACGTACCTGCTGAAATTTGAACTGTTGACCTCCTCCGCTGTGGTTTGTTTCCATGGTGTTTGCATGATATTTCCCTAAACCTCTTCTATGCACGGCGTTAATTCGATCGGCTCGTGTTCAGTAACTATAGAATCCGCAGTCACGCAAACAATGTTTTGAAACTCCTTCAACTCTTTGGACTCAGCCGCCTTTCCGTTCCATCGCTCTCTTTATCGTGGATTCTGGAACTGGATAACCCTGTGACTAAGTGTGTATCGCTGTGTCTTCCCACTGGGTACACAGTGTGATCCTCTCGCAAGAGAGGCGCAGAAGCCATTGTGAATCACATATTGATTCAGCTGACTTGCACTCGTGGATCAGGTATTGGATGGTTTTGGGATTGTTTGTCTCTCCCATGAATCAACTGAGCGCAAAGCGGCCGCGCTGACGGACAACTATGCTGCCGAGCTTACGGTCAACATACACATGTACACACACATGGACATACACCCCCTCCCCTTCCCCCCCGCTTTCTCTCTTGAGCTTTCTTCTTTTTTAGGTTTTCTGTCAGGCTCGTTAGGTGGTTCTTGAGGCTCGTTTCCCTGCCTGCCCCTCGGGTTTGGTTTGTTTGTTTCTCTCCTGCCTTTTCGTTTCTCTTTCTAGGTTTGCCTTTTTGCTAGAGGCTTTTAAGGTGTGTAATGAGTTTTTCTGTTTTCTTTCAGTCAAGGGCTAAGTAGTCAAGTGCTAAGTAGTCACTTTTTTCGCTACTCCTATCTTTCTTTCTTGCCCTTTTCGTTTTGCTCCTTCTGTCTTTTCTAAAGCTTTTTAGGTGACTATTGAGGTTTAGCACCGCAAAGCGGCCAAGTGTGTGTGTGTGTGTGTGTGTCAAAATCTGTTTCCAAGAGTTCGTCCTCCTTTTTCCACAAATGACGCAGCGGACCAGGCAGGATACATCGGCGCCTGGTCAACGAAGCTGGCGATGTATCCGAGGATATGGAAATGGGATGCCATTTCCACGTACCTGCTGAAATTTGAACTGTTGACCTCCGCTGTGGTTTGTTTCCATGGTGTTTGCATGATATTTCCCTAAACCTCTTCTATGCACGGCCGATCGGCTACGTATTCAGTACTGTAACTAGAATCCGCAGTCACTCAAACAATGTTTTGAAACACCTTCAACTCTTTGGACTCAGCCGCCTTTCCATTCCATCGCTCTTTTTATCGTGGATTCTGGAACTGGATAAACCCTGTGACTAAGTGTGTCTGAACATGCTTTAATTTCTCCTGGCTCATGGACAGCAATTGCAAGTTTGTCTGAAAGGGCTGACATGAGGATTGATGGCAGTTTGTGAAACTCATTGTGTGTTCCCCCAAGGCTGAATAGTGTCTTGTTGGATGCCCCATCCTCCTCTGTCTTCAGCTGTACAAGTATGCAGTAATACGCCGACCATGTCATGGCAGCTTTGGACTTGGTGCTTCTGGGGGGTTCTTCTTGTTTTTTTCTGCCACTGCTTTGGTCGGGGCTTTCAACATCACTCGGCAACTTGCAGTTTTTGGGGATTACTGCGTTCGCCAGCATCTGCGAATACACTCCGTGTACGCTTGGGCCCGCTGCTGCAGCGGATATTGGACTGCCGTGCATATGGCACATGGGAGGTGTTCACGCCAGCAGGGCAGTGCCCCAGCGTCGCGTCATCACCGAAAAGGGTTCCAGGGGCATTGTGCGAAACAGGCCTTTCGCCATGGAAAAAGTGGTTCGCCATCATGGCCTTTCCTTCCTCTATTGCTTCGTTGCTTGAGAAGCAAGGCGTCAAAAACTGTGGCGATCAGTCTTGCTTTAGATGAGAAAACCTTCAACGAGGATACCAAACCCAATCCCCTCGGTCTGTTGCACCAATACCCCTCAGTTTTAGGCATCTCCACATCCCCGAGGTTTGGTGCGATTGCTGTTGTCCTGGTTCTGAACTGTACCTGATGCGATCCTGTGAGCCAACTGGGCGATCCTGTGCGTTTCGGTTCCGATTTGTGGCTGGCCTTGGGTGTTGCCTCAAAGCATCATAGGGCAACGTGCATTCCTTCCTCCTCTCCTGGCGTGCTTCCCGGAGTACCACCTGCTTCAGGTGGAACAAACAAAAGGCAACAACCACTTGCCTTCACTGAAGATGCACTGGAAAAGACCGTCATTTTACTGTACACCAATGATTGCATGTTTGCTTTATAAAGATAAAGGATGTCGTTTTCGAAGGTTTAAGACACATGTGTTCCCATGTTTGCTTTCAAACATCACAACAAATCTGAAAAAGGCAGCCTTTTCACCGCACTGTTGCCATTCTTTGCTTTGAAAAGGATGTTCTGTTCATTTCCAGGTTTGCCAATCTTTGCTTTAAGGCAGATGTTATTCTGACTTATTTTGACTTCAAGTTTGGCCCACCAACACCAACAATCAGACCCAAAAAGATCAGCCACGACTTGTTGGGATACCCAAAACTTTCCGATTTTGGGAAACGACACTCAAAAATCCTTATAGGAGGAACACATATACTTTCTCACAGACGAGCACTTTAATTGTGGATTTCTTCGGAGAAGCCGGGTCATACACCCAGCACTGATCGAAGGGTGTTCACCCGTCGCTCTCCGTCGCTCTCCTTCACCTCGGTCGCTCTGTGGGAGGTGATTTTCGACCAGCCGTTGCACGTGAGTTTCCTGAAGTTGTCCATGGGAGCGCCGGACCATCCCCAGGCGAGGGAGAAGGGATGAAGCGCAGAGGCGTTGGGTTCCAGGAACTGAGATGAAGTGGCGTTGGATGAAATGTGAGATTCGTGTTTGTTGCAGAAAGTGTAGCCCATGTCATAAATCACTTAGCGAATGAGAATGTTGGGAATTAACATACTGTAGTTGATTGAGGGAGGTTGAAAGTGTGAGATTCCCTTCGATCTCCTTTGAGCCTGTAAAAGGATGGAAGGACCACTGGAGTTTGACTGTCCTCCGTAGAAGTCCGCTCAAGAAACCGTGAATGCCGAGGATTGCAACGGACAAAATACCCCCAAGCTGGAAACTCATCGACGTGTTCTGGTGGTTTGGCAGCCAAGCACGTCGTCATGGCCGTCATGGCCGTCGCAGCCTATCACATCGGACTTCGTCCCTCCGTTCCTTGGATTATCTCCGAAACCGGGATCCGGGATCGTACCGTACCTCAGGTACGGTGACGGTCGTGTCTCCACTGTTATACCCTTTGGATCCACATACCTTCTCAGAAGGCAATTGGACCCTCCAAGCCTACATAAATAGTCTCCAATCACCTCCTCAGAAGGTATGTGGATCCATAGGGATAGTAGGTTCCAAGTATTTCCAGTCATACTTTCTCAGAATTCTTGGATCCCGGAAACAAAAGCATGCCATTCTCATGGCGGCCATTTCCCCAACACCCATCTCATCTCCTTTCCTTCCGTTCGGGGGAACGGGAGTGAACTCTCCCACTAGTCGCAACACGACGAAGACGAAGACCAAGTGATTGTGACCGGTTCAGCATGTTGGACCGATGGCATGGAGGTGGAAGATTTGGGCGAGTAATGTAT